TGGTGTGAATATAATGCAGAGAATTCGTAGTTTGGAAGTTAGGAGGAGGTGCGGGATTACCAAAACTGTTGTCCAGAGGGCTGAGGAAGGGTTGTTGAGGTGGTTCGGACATGTAGAGAGAATGGAGCGAAACAGAATAACTTCAAGAGTGTATCAGTCTGTAGTGGAAGGAAGGCGGGTGGGGTTCGGCCTAGGAAGGGTTGGAGGGAGGGGGTAAAGGAGGTTTTGTGTGCGAGGGGCTTGGACTTCCAGCAGGCATGCGTGAGCGTGTTTGATAGGAGTGAATGGAGACAAATGGTTTTTAATACTTGACGTGCTGTTGGAGTGTGAGCAAAGTAACATTTATGAAGGGATTCAGGGAAACCGGCAGGCCGGACTTGAGTCCTGGAGATGGGAAGTACAGTGCCTGCACTCTGAAGGAGGGGTGTTAATGTTGCAGTTTAAAAACTGTAGTGTAAAGCACCCTTCTGGCAAGACAGTGATGGAGTGAATGATGGTGAAAGTTTTTCTTTTTCGGGCCACCCTGCCTTGGTGGGAATCGGCCGGTGTGATAATAAAAATAAAAATAAATATGTAAATGTGTACTTGTATGTGTGGTGCGATCTAAGTATAAGTAGCAAGATGTACCTGAAATCTTGCACGTGTATGAGACAGAAAAGACACCAGCAATCCTACCATGTAAAACAATTACAGGTTTTCGTTTTACTCGCTTGGCAGGATGGCAGTACCTCCCTGGGTGGTTGCTGTCTGCCAACCAACGAGTTATATATCTGAGAAACACAAATACATTTAAAAAGAACACGAACCAACAGTGGTCATCCTGACAATATGACTAGGAAAAATGTAGTAATCTTCCTCTTAGCTTTTGCACCACTAGTCCTTACAACTTTGAAGATTTAAGATGTTTAGAATTGAATACCATTAAACCAACATTAAATTTAATACGACCACTCATGGCTCGAAATCAAAACCAGCCATGGAATGTTTTCCAAGACATTCTCATTGGATTTAGTAAACACTAAGTGTTTTTAAATGAAGAATTCTTGATAAATTTTAATATTAATGACATTAAAACAATATCTAACCTTTCCGGGGTGGCCCCGGAATTCCAGGGTGACCCCTTCCCCTCACCCCTTCCTAGTCCAGCCGAGAGAAATGGGTGGAGCTTGAGAGAATCTACACTACGTCCTCGGGTCTTCATGGTTCTATGGGTACTAACACTTTTATCAGAATTTTTCTGTGAGATATAGCTGAAGTTGGTGTTTGCTACCATAAAATGACTTGTTGCTGTGTCACATTCAACTTAGAATGAAAAATGAGTCAAGGTGGAATGCAAAAGTGCAGAAAAGTACATAGCATCCTTCATGGTCAGTAACACTTGATAGAAAATACAATTGCACGAAGAATTGTTCAGTGTTTCAGATTCAAAATTACATTTTTTTTCATTTTAATTTACAAAACTATAATTTTCAAATTTTTGAGTCTTTGTATCAAGACCACTAGAGGAATATTTAAGGAGATGCAGCAGCATAAACCTTTCATGCAACACTCATGGTTCAAAATCGGAATACTAAACAGATTTTATATGGAATTAAAATATTTTCTACTAGGGGAAATATTTAAGGAAATGTGACCCTCGATTATTGGAGCTGTGCACTTCTGGGACTCAAAGTTGGAGTAAAAATATAGCCTACAGTTGAAGCTAGGCAAATTCTGTATATCTATGCTTGGTATTTCAAGCAGACTAGGAAGCAAGTTGGCAGCACCTTCCACTACCCCCAACAGTTGTCAAAGCAGAAGTTGGTGTACTGCAGTATATGACATGCATTACATTATCTAAGTTTTCTAATCTTCTTATGAACCTCCATCAAGTATGGATTACTTGTACCCATGTACATCTCCATAGTGCTATAATTTGCACAGTTTCGTGAATTTTCCAGCAAACTAGAATTGTATATAATCTTAATTTTCCAGGCTTTGTGAAAATATTAATCTGTTAATACAGTGCTTTAACCACTTAAATGAAGGTCTACATTTTGAATCTTTAAGTGTTGTTGATGTATTATCCATAAGGGTTTAGTGCTCAACAGGGGAATGTAATGTACAGTATTATGTTAATGTAGTATATCAATTATATGCATCATGGAGATTACTGGAATGGGCATTGCTGTGTTTTGATAGTGATAAGTTAAATTCAATTGGAAGTGTGGAAATAAATTATTGGTAATATTTCGGTTGTGACAAGGGTATTTTTCTGTACTAACAGTAAATCGAGGAACTTTTGAAAGTGGAATGGTGTCTTCGTAATTCTGGGATTCTAGGAATTTCTTTTGGCTTTGGGAAGCTGGTTTCATTAAAGCAAAAACTGAATTAGAAACATGAAAATTGAATGCACGATCATTGGTTTTCTCTTTCCATGGTTGGGCACTAACGAATCACGGACTTACGTTCTTCAAAGCCTGCCGTGAAGTCAATCTTAACAGCAAATTCTCTAAAGTTGGTGCTGGTAAGTTTATGTATTGTTTTAAGCTTAAATTTTGTAGATTTCTAAACATTTTACCTGGTGTTGCATGCAGTCTCTCCTTAAATATTGTAGGGTTTGCAAATAATGAAATTAAAATTTCCATGGGAGCAAAAAAAAAAAAAGAAAATGTATGAGAGTATAGTGGTACCAGTGCTCTTATATAGGTGTAAAGCATGGGTTGTGAATGTTGCAATAAGGTGGAGGCTGGAGGAAATGGAGAGGTCACGTTTGAGGGTAATGTGCAGAGAATTCGTAGCTTGGAAATTAGGACGTGCAGAATTACTAAAAGTATTATCCAGATGGCTGAAGAGCAGTTCAGGTGGTTCAGGCATTGAGAGGATGGAACAAAATAGGATGACTTGGAAGGTGTGTAAATTTGTAGTGGAGGGAAGGTGGGGTAGGGGTCATCCTAGGAAAGGTTGGAGAGGGGGGGGGTAAAGGAAGTTGTGCATGAGAGGCTTAGACTTCCAGCAAGTGTGTTAGATACGAGTAAGTGGTTTTTAGGATCTGACATGCTGTTGGAATGTGAGTAGGGTAACATTCATGAAGGAATTCAGGGAAACCAGTTAGCTGGACTTGAGTCCTGGAGGTGGGAAGTACAGTACCTGCACTCTGAAGGAAGGGAGAGTATAAATGCAGTTTTGAAATGTAGTATCAGTGCCCCTCGGGCAATACAGGGATGGAGCAAGTGATTGTTAGAAAGTTTCTTCTATCTTGGGTCACCCTGACTCTGGGCAATAACTGGATTATTAAAAAAAAAAAAAAAAAAAAAAAAAGTGCTGTTGAGTACCGTGAGATCATTAGTTTTAGAAAGTTTTTTCTCAAAACTTTTAAATGTATCTTATTAATTGTGAATTTTGGCATAAGGTTTAATGTAACTTGAACTTCAATCCCAGTTATACATGTTGTCAGGGACTATTTTTTCCCATTGGTTGACAAACAAAAAATGTTATGTAGGTGTTAATATTCCCAATGCAGATAATTTCATTATTTGTTTTTTAATTCAAAAATCAAATTTGTGTTTAGATTTATACACAGAACAAGTGGACCTATAAGTTTTTTTTTTTTTAGCAATTTAAAATTGTGGAATAAAGATAAGATAATTGGATTTTGCTACCAAAATGGCTAATTTACTGTGGGCCCAACATCTATCCTGTAGATGGAAGTGCAAGAGCATATGTATATATGAAAGCCCAAGCAACTGGGCTCTTCAAGGGTTACCATGAGTGAAATAGGCATTTAACACATCTGCCATTTTCACCAAGGTTGGGTGACCCTTGTAAATATACTTTTCTATATTCTTGTTAACCCAAGTTATAAGATCTAGTCAGGCTTCTAACTACATTCCTACTACATTCAAATTCATCATTCACTTCTGATCTTTGTAACATTTAACAAGGAGTTTTAATAGTTGCATAATATAGAAGTCCATAAAGTTTATTAGATTTCGATCATATACTGTAATTGTTAATGGTTCATAAGACAGAAAAATGATTGTTGATGCAACTTGCTAGAATATAATTACACTACAGTAGATGGCTTCAGGTTCCCACTTGACATGATATATTAAAAGTTGCCTGGGTACTGAGAAGGTACTGTTTCCTCATTGTCATCTTTTTCCATATAGAAAACCCCAGAACCATACAGATGCTCCTCGTTTCACAATGGTTTGACTTGCGATTTTTGAAATTTATTTCAACTTTATAATGGTGTGATAGCTATGCACATTCAGTATTGTTAAACTTTGAATTTTGATCTGTTCCGGGGGTCCCAAATACGCATACACACTTTACCTGTATCCTTGGGTAATCAAGTCAGTGTACTGTAATTCTTTTTTTTTTTTTTTTACAGTACTGTGCATTTATTGATTGGATAAACTTGTATTCATTTATTTACTTTTCAATATTGGTATTTAGTTAAAGTAATTATTTGTTTATTTGCTTATTCAGGGGACTAGTTTATTTACGGGGGGTTCATTGGAACGTAACCCAGTCAAAATTTCAAGGAGCACCTGTATTCCTTACCCCCTTCCCCTCTCTTTTTGTTAAAAGATGTTGGTTTCTTTGTTCAGGTTTATGACTGCTGTTTGTATAAAGATAAGCCAAGACTCATGTTTGCTTTTCTGATGTTAGGCTTCAGTATTGTTGTGAATTCAATATTCAATAGATTTTTTTTGCCATAAACAATGATTTTTACCAATTTTTTGATAGACTGATGCAGTATAACATTGCTTTAAGGCGTCACATAGCCGTATACTCCTGCAAATATTTGCTGCTAGAGCGCGAATCGTGTACATAGTAATTTTGCAGTAATTCACAACCATTTCCTAAGTCCTGATGAATACTATCAAAATAAATTTTTTTAGAAAATAAGGATGAATATCCTTTAAAATGTTAAAATTTGAATAAAGTTCAGGCTTGTTAATTGGATCTTTAATTGAAATTCCAGTAGCATTTTCAGGGATTTCTTATTTCAGCAATTCCTCCAGCTCCTTCTCCCAGTAAAAACTTCTCGTTACATACATCCCTGGGACTTCTCACAAGCGTTTTGGGTCGACCTTCTCCAAACGGCTCCAGATGGCACAGTTGTTTTAAAAACAAGGTAAGTTAATTGCCATTAACTTTATGCTTGTTGTAAACCATATGGAATGAATGGTACTTGCTAAAGTTTCATACATACTACACAAAAAAACTGTTTTTTTTAATGGTGAAATTATAATTGAAAGTGCCTTCAAAATTTTCTTGTGCACAACTCTCCCCAATTTGGTCCATAACGGGGAAAAAACTGTCTTTTGTACCTCCATGAAGTTGGGTTAAATTCTGAAAAAAATTAATATATAAGAATGGAAAGCTAAATTATTCCATTCTTAAGCATTTTGCAAAGAGATGATCATGAGAGAGCATCAGAGAGCACTTCCATGCCTTGTGTATGTCTTATGTAAGCTAGGCAGTTTTGTGTAATATATCAAACTTAATCTTGCTCATTTTCAGGCTTCAGATACACTAGCAGTCCAAAAAAGAAGAATATACGATATTACTAATGTATTGGAGGGCATTGGTCTAGTCAATAAGAAATCCAAAAACAATGTTCAATGGCTGTGAGTATTTCTTTAATGTTTATTACTGGTATGTAGTTAATGCCGATAGCTGAAGGGAGACAAGTTTTTCCCATTTTTTCTTTTCCAGAATGGAAATTTTTTTAGGCATTTTTTTTTATTAATAATGTGTATGTCGTACTGAAGGGGTAAAAACTTGCTATTTTGGCTTAAATAGCAACACACTTTTTGCAGAATAAGGCAAGCGAAAATTTGTGTATGCAATAATTTCACAAAAATCTTTCCGAATTTAAAAAAAAAGTTTCATTGTGTTTGTTTATTATTAAATTATTGAAAACTTATCTAAAACAAAATTTAGTTGGATTAGGCTAATTAACTGCCTATTATAATAAGGTTAGGTAAGTTTTCTAAGGTTGTTTTGGATCAAAATGATTAATTTTTACATTAATATCAGTTAAAAAATTCTGTCTTTAAACATAAAAGAAAATTTTAGGAAGGACTTAATTTTAAACGCGTTCTTTCTAATTGACCAGTTCTACTTATTCAGCACAACTATACTTGAATGAACATTTCCTAAGAGTGCCTGCACTCTGAAGGAGGGGTGGATATATTTTCAGTTTGCAGGGGCATCTGAACTGTATAATCTATATGCCTCTGGCGAGATGGTAAAGTGAATGATGGTGAGCATTTCTTTTTCAGGTCACCTTATCTTGGTGGGAGATGGCTGGTGTTAAAAAAAAAAAAAATTGTATCTTGTCTTTTAATGAAAATATCTCATGTTTGAGTACATGGAAATTGATGATCCTTAGGGTAATCTTATGGTTTTGCTATTTTTTTTGTATTTTGAGGTCACATTGCATTGATTTGCACATGTGGGGTAAGTTATCAGTTCTGGTGGACATCATATTTGTATGTTTGAGATAAGGGAGAGGGCTCATCACATATGTGGTATGTGACCGTAAATAGGCTGAACTAAACAGAACTTAAATAGGCTGTAGTGCTAGGTGTTGAGTTTCAGGGTACTGGCATATTCTTTAGATTTTCAGAGATTCCGCTCCCCATCCCCCCCCCCCCCTTTTTTCCTCACTGTTTCCTTACTCCTGTGAGCTTTGGCTTTTCTCTTCTCCCAATCCTTTTCTGATTAGTATACCACCAAGGTAAGTAGCTTCTAGTTTAAAAAAAAAAAAGTTTATGGTAAAACATGACTCTTTTTTTATATCCAGACTATAAATTACATGCTGGTACATTTTGTCTTGCTTGTGCCGTATGTCTGGTACAGTATTGAAGGGAAGAACTGTTGTTGTTTTGCCTTTTTCTGGCTTAACAAATTGTTCAGCTCTCCAACATATCCAAGTTAATACTGAAAAATTAATTTACACTTAACTGCCCCCCCCCCCCAAAAAAAAAAAAAAAAAAAAATTAACACCCACTGTCTGCTAATGAGGTAGGGTGACCTGAAAAAGAACCACCACTTTCTCACCAACACACTCCATCACTGTCATGGCCAGAGGCATGCCAATACCACAATTCAGATGTCCCTCCAAACTGCAAATATCCCCACCCCTCCTTGTACCTCCCACCTCCAGGACTCTTAAGTCTGGCACTTACGGAATTATGCAGGTGCAGAGTTAGAGGTCATAGTGCAATTTAAGCATTGGTGATTTCGCCGACTTTGAGCCCTATTTTAAGCCAATCTTGCCATTTGACCAGATTTTTAGCTATTTCACTAGTAATGCTTCTATTCAAATTAATTGATGACAAGAAACACCCATTAACTATTTTACCTCACAAAAGTTGAAAATTTGGCCAGTGTTGTACAATTAAAAAAATAAGTCCAAAATAATGTAGGCATTCCTAGCATTAAAATATTTCCTCTGTTCATTAATCTTGTCTGACATATTCTTGTCACAAAACTTAATAAAACTGCCTATGTATTTTTAGAGCTTTCATCCAACACTGTTCACATTAACCCTTGTAAAGGTTATATTTTCTCACTGCTTTATAGGATAGGCTCTGTGCCTTATGTGAGCACTAAGCAGGGCCCCTTTCCCTATTTTTTGTCATCCACATGTTAAGTAGCTTTCCTGTCTTATTTAGCTGTATTGACATGTTTGACATTCTTTTCAGCAGGTCACAATCTGCATTACATGCACCACTTCATAGCTTATTTAAAAATTTCACTTTCTAAATGCTATCAGAGCCTTGTGCTTATTTTTTCTTTGCCTCCAGCATCAACTCAGTGTTATGGTTAATATCCAGGAGATGAAAATATCTAGAATTGTTTGATAAACAGTGTGTAAGGCACATTATGTTTCAGAAAGCAAATGTAGGTTGCTTGGAGTTATACCTTGACTCATTCCTTAGGCCCAACTTGGGTCAGGGGAGAAAAAAAAATTCTAGTATAGTACCTTGATTTTGCACGTGAACTGATGTTGTTCTGCTTTACAACATGTACTACAAAGGTTTTTTTGTACAGTGACATTTTTCTGGATGGATTTTTTCAATTACATTTGCACATAATTGCACTGTGATATCACTTTATAAGAAATTACCATATTTACTTTGCAGTGGCCCTTTTCTGCAACATGGCATTTTCCTCTCAGCCACACACTGTACAACGAAGCATGGAAGAGGGCAGTGGGTAGGGAGGGGGGAAGAGAAAAGAGTAAGAGTTAGGCAGGAAGGCAGTTGCATTTAAGAATAAATTTGAGAAAATCTGGGTTTGGTATATCTAGTTAACATAAAGGCTTTGCAAAGAATTTAGGAAAATAGGAGAGAAACTGCTTGTAAATTGATAGTGGAAAATAAGGCTTTGCTTAAAAGTACCTTACAGTACCTATATATATATTCTAATAATAAAATGTAAATACTTAATATTTGAAAAAATTCTTAACGTTTAAGAATGTATTGTAAAATTTTTATGACGTTTTCTTTATAATTTTTATTGGGGTAATATATTCACATGTTTTATTTTAGAGCTTCAAGAGTAAGCAGTGAGGACTTAGAGGGGGAGCTTGAGGACTTGGAGTCGAAGGAAAATGAGCTTGATAACCTTATAGAACAAGCAGGTAATTTCTATTGTTGTGCACGTGAGGGAACGAATAATAAAGAAAAAACATCTTTAGAGATTTATGTTAAAATTGTGAAACGATGTACTTGTTTATCTTCTCCAGAGCGAGATCTCCTACAAATGAGTCAAGACAAAGGGTCAGCATACATTACCTACCATGATTTACACACGATTCGTTATTATCAAGACAAAACAGTGTTTGCAATCAAAGCGCCGCCTGGAACACAATTACAAGTCCCGATTCAGGAAACCATGTCCAAAGAAGAGGTAAGGATGTTAATTGTCATATCATGTAATACAGCTGGCAACTTGGGAATACTCGGTAGCAACTGAAGAAACTAAAATGTTTTAGGGGTTATGCATGTTTACTCCCTCTCTTTTCTGTATCTCATCTTTCCCTATCTCTCCTAATCTTCCCTTTCACCCTTTTTAGTGATCCTTTCCCTGATCATCTTCCCATTTTCTTCCCCCTGATCTTTTCCCCTCAAGGAAGATGCCCTGATGTCAGTGAGGCTCTTGTTCTTTCTTGGATCGAACTGAGGAACTGGACTTCTCTTCCTTGGATCAAATCTGAATGTCTCCCATTTTCCCCATGTGTTACATGACCTATTTTGGCTTAGTGTTTTTTATTGTTTCAAGAAAAAATCTTAATCCTTTCTCCCTTAGCCTACTGATCTCCCTTTACTATCTCCTGACCTCTTACCCCATGACTTCTTCCTGATCTTTTTCCCTTGGATTCCTTCTGATCTTGGGTTGCCCCAACTTTTTCCTAGGATGGGTGCTTAAGAAATCATTTGAATTTTATTGGAATTTAAATACTTGTTCACTCGGCTTTTGTTTTGCAGGGTTGTAAAATCCACCTGAAGAGTGAAAATGGTCCTATTGAGGTATATCTGTCAGAATCCACAGTTGGAGATAACACTATCAAACAGAGTCCCATCAAATCAAGTCCCCTCAAATCCACTTCTGTCAGGACACAATTAGCAAATGCCTCAAGACCCAAGTTAAGACCCACACGGACAAGAGGTAGCAAAGCAGTGCTGCAGACTCGCAAACCTGTCTTGAGAACACCAAAGAAGGTAATAATAATAAGACATAATAAAGCCCTTGCATCTGTTTTTAATAAAGGGATGAAGAGGAGGACTATAATGAATTGGGTTGACCCATTTTATTGGTGGTGAGTGCTTTATTTTTTATGTAACGGTCTCAAAATAATTGGGCATTAAAGCTCTAGATACCTTGATAATCATAAGAGGTTGCTTGATCTTTGTTTTCCTTGCTTTATTATTCGTTTTTCATTTTTATTTTTCAACGTGATGACTGTCTCCCACCGAGGCAGGGTGACCCAAAAAACTCTCCATCATTCACACACAATCACTTTGCAGAAGCACTCCGATACCAACAGTTTAGATGTCACTCCATATAGGCAATATCCCCAAAACCCCTCTTTTTAAAGTGCAGGCATTGTACTTCCCACCTCCAAGACTAGTCCAGCTAACCGGTTTCCCTTAATCCCTTTGCAAAATATTACCCTGCTCACACTCCAACAATTAATCAGGTCCCAAAAACCCATTTATCTCCATTCACTCCTAACATGCTCACACATACCTGCTGCATGTCCAAGCCTCTTGTACACTAAACCTGTTTACCCCCCCCCCCCCCTTCCCTCTATCCTTTCCTAGGATGACCCCCTACTCCCCTCCACTGCAGATTATAATATACACCCTTAGGGGTTAAACTATTGGAATAGCTTACATTACAAAGAAATACTTTTAATGTCAGGTGAAATCAGGAAAGCCTTATAATTTGTAATAAAATAATACAATATTTGATAGGATTATTATGAATTGCTATGATTGCTGGTGTCGATTTTTGTCTCATAAATATGCAAGGTTTCAGGTATGTCTTGCTACTTCTACTTACACTTAGGTCACACTACACATTCATGTACAGGCATATATATATACACACATCCCTCTGGGTTTTCTTCTATTTTCTTTCTAGTTCTTATTCTTGTTTGTTTCCTCTTATCTCCATGGGGAAGTGGAATAGAATTCTTCCTCCGTAAGCCATGCGTGTTGTAAGAGGCGACTAAAATGCCGGGAGCAAGGGGCTACTAACCTCTTCTCCTGTATATATTACTAAATGTAAAAGGAGAAACTTTCGTTTTTCCTTTTGGGCCACCCTGCCTCGGTGGGATACGGCCGGTGTGTTGAAAGAAAGAAGAATTATGAATTTTACTAAACAGCGTTCCAAACATCCTGAGTGATGTGAAGTTATCATACATTCATAGTATACGCTACAGTACTGACAAGTTGTTGAAGGATAAGACATGTGCCATACTCAACATTAGCATTCATTTCTCATATTTCATGAATAGATAACAGGGATATCTTGCTACTCCTACTTACACTTTGGTCACACTTCACAGACACGCACATGCATATATATATATACATACATCTAGGTTTTTCTCCTTTTTCTAAATAGCTCTTGTTCTTTTTTATTTCTTCTATTGTCCATGGGGAAGTGGAAAAGAATCTTTCCTCCGTAAGCCATGCGTGTCGTATGAGGCGACTAAAATGCCGGGAGCAATGGGCTAGTAACCCCTTCTCCTGTATACAATTACTAAAAAAGAGAAGAAGAAAAACTTTATAAAACTGGGTGCTTAAATGTGCGTGGATGTAGTGCGGATGACAAGAAACAGATGATTGCTGATGTTATGAATGAAAAGAAGTTGGATGTCCTGGCCCTAAGCGAAACAAAGCTGAAGGGGGTAGAGAGTTTCAGTGGGGGGAAATAAATGGGATTAAATCTGGAGTATCTGAGAGAGTTAGAGCAAAGGAAGGGTAGCAGTAATGTTAAATGATCAGTTATGGAAGGAGAAAAGAGAATATGAATGTGTAAATTCAAGAATTATGTGGATTAAAGTAAAGGTTGGATGCGAGAAGTGGGTCATAATAAGCGTGTATGCACCTGGAGAAGAGAGGAATGCAGAGGAGAGAGAGAGAGATTTTGGGAGATGTTAAGTGAATGTATAGGAGCCTTTGAACCAAGTGAGAGAGTAATTGTGGTAGGGGACTTGAATGCTAAAGTAGGAGAAACTTTTAGAGAGGGTGTGGTAGGTAAGTTTGGGGTGCCAGGTGTAAATGATAATGGGAGCCCTTTGATTGAACTTTGTATAGAAAGGGGTTTAGTTATAGGTAATACATATTTTAAGAAAAAGAGGATAAATAAGTATACACGATATGATGTAGGGCGAAATGACAGTAGTTTGTTGGATTATGTATTGGTAGATAAAAGACTGTTGAGTAGACTTCAGGATGTACATGTTTATAGAGGGGCCACAGATATATCAGATCACTTTCTAGTTGTAGCTACACTGAGAGTAAAAGGTAGATGGGATACAAGGAGAATAGAAGCATCAGGGAAGAGAGAGGTGAAGGTTTATAAACTAAAAGAGGAGGCAGTTAGGGTAAGATATAAACAGCTATTGGAGGATAGATGGGCTAATGAGAGCATAGGCAATGGGGTCGAAGAGGTATGGGGTAGGTTTAAAAATGTAGTGTTAGAGTGTTCAGCAGAAGTTTTGGTTACAGGAAAGTGGGTGCAGGAGGGAAGAGGAGCGATTGGTGGAATGATGATGTAAAGAGAGTAGTAAGGGAGAAAAAGTTAGCATATGAGAAGTTTTTACAAAGTAGAAGTGATGCAAGGAGGGAAGAGTATATGGAGAAAAAGAGAGAGGTTAAGAGAGTGGTGAAGCAATGTAAAAAGAGAGCAAATGAGAGAGTGGGTGAGATGTTATCAACAAATTTTGTTGAAAATAAGAAAAAGTTTTGGAGTGAGATTAACAAGTTAAGAAAGCCTAGAGAACAAATTGATTTGTCAGTTAAAAATAGGAGAGGAGAGTTATTAAATGGAGAGTTAGAGGTATTGGGAAGATGGAAGGAATATTTTGAGGAATTGTTAAATGTTGATGAAGATAGGGAAGCTGTGATTCGTGTATAGGGCAAGGAGGAATAACATCTTGTAGGAGTGAGGAAGAGCCAGTTGTGAGTGTGGGGGAAGTTCGTGAGGCAGTAGGTAAAATGAAAGGGGGTAAGGCAGCCGGGATTGATGGGATAAAGATAGAAATGTTTAAAAGCAGGTGGGGATATAGTTTTGGAGTGGTTGGTGCAATTATTTAATAAATGTATGGAAGAGGGTAAGGTACCTAGGATTGGCAGAGAGCATGCATAGTTCCTTTGTATAAAGGCAAAGGGGATAAAAGAGAGTGCAAAAATTATAGGGGGATAAGTCTGTTGAGTGTACCTGGTAAAGTGTATGGTAGAGTTATAATTGAAAGAATTAAGAGTAAGACGGAGAATAGGATAGCAGATGAACAAGGAGGCTTTAGGAAAGGTAGGGGGTGTGTGGACCAGGTGTTTACAGTGAAACATATAAGTGAACAGTATTTAGATAAGGCTAAAGAGGTCTTTGTGGCATTTATGGATTTGGAAAAGGCGTATGACAGGGTGGATAGGGGGGCAATGTGGCAGATGTTGCAAGTGTATGGTGTAGGAGGTAGGTTACTGAAAGCAGTGAAGAGTTTTTACGAGGATAGTGAGGCTCAAGTTAGAGTATGTAGGAAAGAGGGAAATTTTTTCCCAGTAAAAGTAGGCCTTAGACAAGGATGTGTGATGTCACCGTGGTTGTTTAATATATTTATAGATGGGGTTGTAAGAGAAGTAAATGCGAGGGTCTTGGCAAGAGGCGTGGAGTTAAAAGATAAAGAATCTCACACAAAGTGGGAGTTGTCACAGCTGCTCTTTGCTGATGACACTGTGCTCTTGGGAGATTCTGAAGAGAAGTTGCAGAGATTGGTGGATGAATTTGGTAGGGTGTGCAAAAGAAGAAAATTAAAGGTGAATACAGGAAAGAGTAAGGTTATGAGGATAACAAAAAGATTAGGTGATGAAAGATTGAATATCAGATTGGAGGGAGAGAGTATGGAGGAGGTGAACGTATTCAGATATTTGGGAGTGGACGTGTCAGCGGATGGGTCTATGAAAGATGAGGTGAATCATAGAATTGATGAGGGAAAAAGAGTGAGTGGTGCACTTAGGAGTCTGTGGAGACAAAGAACTTTGTCCTTGGAGGCAAAGAGAGGAATGTATGAGAGTATAGTTTTACCAACGCTCTTATATGGGTGTGAAGCGTGGGTGAGAATGTTGCAGCGAGGAGAAGGCTGGAGGCAGTGGAGATGTCATGTCTGAGGGCAATGTGTGGTGTGAATATAATGCAGAGAATTCGTAGTTTGGAAGTTAGGAGGAGGTGCGGGATTACCAAAACTGTTGTCCAGAGGGCTGAGGAAGGTTGTTGAGGTGGTTCGGACATGTAGAAGAGAATGGAGCGAAACAGAATGACTTCAAGAGTGTATCAGTCTGTAGTGGAAGGTAGGCGGGGTAGGGGTCGGCCTAGGAAGGGTTGGAGGGAGGGGGTAAAGGAGGTTTTGTGTGCGAGGGGCTTGGACTTCCAGCAGGCATGCGTGAGCGTGTTTGATAGGAGTGAATGGAGACAAATGGTTTTTAATACTTGACGTGCTGTTGGAGTGTGATGCAAAGTAACATTTATGAAGGGATTCAGGGAAACCGGCAGGCCGGACTTGAGTTCTGGAGATGGGAAGTACAGTGCCTGCACTCTGAAGGAGGGGTGTTAATGTTGCAGTTTAAAAACTGTAGTGTAAAGCACCCTTCTGGCAAGACAGTGATGGAGTGAATGATGGTGAAAGTTTTTCTTTTTCGGGCCACCCTGCCTTGGTGGGAATCGGCCGGTGTGATAATAAAAAATAATAAAAAAATAAAATGTTGTGATGTAATGCATCCATAAGGGCCTTCTCTGGCTTGCCCAACTTGAGCCACACTTTCCTTAAAAAAGCATTTTAGTTTTTAGTTTTTTTTTTTTTTATCAGTGGCTCTCCCCCACCAAGGCAGGACAACCCAAAGAAAGAAACACATTCACTATCTTTGAATTGCTTTCTTGCTGGGTATGTGCTGACATCGCAGTTCAAATTATCCACGAACTGAAACTTCCCCTTCCCTCCTTTTTCAAGTGCAGGTATTATGCTAAACACTGTTAGGTAAGACACATATGCAACAGTTAGACACATATGCAAGAGTCTAACTGTTGCATATGTGTCTTACCTAACAACCTGTCGGTATTGTATACCATTTTGATGTTCATGCTAAACACTAGCTTTTTGGGACCTGATGAGCTGTTGGACTGTGCTCAGGGTAATATTTAGGGAAACTAGTTATTTTTATACAGCCAGACTTGTACTGGAAATGGGAAGTACAATGCCTATACTTTAAAGGACGGGTTTGGGATATTGGCAGTTTGGAGGGGTATGTTATATATGTTTCTAAACTGTTGTATCTGGGCACCTTTGCAAAGACATTGTGTGAGTGAGGTGAAAGTGTTAAATGATGAAAGTATTTTCTTTTTGGGGATTTTCTTTTTGGGTCACCCTTTCTTGGTGGGAGATTGCCTACTTGTTAAAAAAAAAAAAATCAGTATTAAAGTCCACCTAACCTGTTGCACTTGAATCCCTTAATAAATATTACTTTGCTCACACGCCATCAGTATATCCATTAAAAACCCCTTTTCTCAGTTCAAAAAGTTTGTTTGCAAAAGCTCGTATTAACAAATATCTTGTTTGTTAGTATCTGTTAGTGATGATTTTTTTTTTTTTCCAGGAACCCAGTTCTCCAGTTCTCACAAAAATTAAAACTGAACTAATTGACCCAGATGAAAATTTAATTAATGTAGATCTTCTAGGTCCATCATCTAGTTTGGACTTAAGTGATGATAGCCTTCATAAAGCTCGCATTCTTGGCTCGGATGAAGACAGCCTTCGTAAGGCTCTTATTCTTGGCTCTGAAGATCTGGGACCTGTAGGGGGAAAGCTCCAGTTGCAAATGGAGGACCAAAATGAAGGTAAGGCTCATTTAGACTTTTAAGAATAAATGATATTCAACAAAAGCATAGTTTTGTTGCCTTGGATTTAGTTTTGTACTTTCCATTAAGTGTACACACACATATAATACAGTGTGCAGTATGGTTAATAGACATTTTTTCCATGCTTAGGACACATTCACTCTGAAACTGCTTTTGACTATTTCCAAATAGTTTTGCTGGAAAAAGTAGGTTGTTGAAGACCCCTACTAGTGCCATTCTTTTACCCAATTCTAAAGGCATTTGGGGCCAGTAAATACAAACATTTTTAATTTGAAGAAATGCTATGGCTGATGGTTTCATTAATTTTTTTGTGTTCAAACTTGGCATACATTGGTGGTTGTGAAGGGCTCTTGTTTTAAGGAATTGGAGTCTCTCTCTCCTTGAATCTAACTTGTTTACCACTTCCCAGGAAATATGACACTTGCAAGGTTTAGTGCTTTTCTGTGAATAAGTATACCACAGCACCCCCACTTTTTTTTTCCCCCAGTGCTAAAATTTACTTCATTTCTGTTGTCATTTTTTTAAACACGTACGCTGGCCAACTCCTACTGAGGCAGTATGATCCCCATCCCCCCTCCAGAAAAAAAAAATACACCACCATTCACACTCTTTGTAGAGGTGTGCAAAGTGACAGTTTAGATGTCACTCTAAACAGCAAATATCCCAAACCCTTCCTTTAAAGTGCAGGCATTGTACTTCCCACCTCCAGGACTCGAGTCCATCTAACAGGTTCCCTGAATCCCTTCACAGAATATTACCCTTCTCACACTCCAACAGCTTATCAAGTCCCAGAAAAAATGTCTCCACTCTTGTCTAACATTCAGGAGATAGGACGTACGAGGGTACATTGTGTGAATCCACTGTGCATACTCCCTAATATATTATGGTTGCTTCTTAATCATCCCAGGTTGAAAAGCCTGTACTTCCCTATATGTACTTAGCTATGTGGCTGCAGGGATTGACTCAGCTCCTGGCTCTGCCTCTGCCTCTGCCTCTGCCTCTCAACTTGCCATTTACCAGATTCACTTCCTCCTAGCTTTGTGGACCTATCATATCTACTTAAGTTTAAATTATGGAGCTACTCACCATATTTCAGGGGATATTCACTTTCGAACCACCCTGGGGACTGAAGGTACTCCTGACATCCCTGTCCTAACTTCCACCTCTTAAAGGGGGCTCCTTGGCGGGGTTGAAGAGGCTCTTGTTGGGAAATTACCCCCTGTCGGTCTTCTTCCTCAGACCGAACCTAATTTCCCCTTTCTCCCTTCCCTATCCCTTTCCTCCCCTTTTTCCATTCTCCTCCTCACCCTCCTTTTGCCTTCCCTCTTTTGGCCTTTGGGATTTTCCCACAGCCACAGTTCCTAGGTAGGGGAAAGGACCAGGGTCCATCCCATTCGTTGAGTTTTCTTGGCGGGCCGTAGTTTGCCGTGGACTCTGGTATTCTGGGATTTTCCCGTCCCCTCCGGTATTCCGGAGTGCTTTGGGTGTCTTTCGGGCGACGGGTGTTCTCTGGAAGCCACCTTTTCGGATTCCGGGGGTGGTGCTGAAGGAAGGTTGCTTTGTGGCGGATATGGGCCCCCTCTTTTCCACCAGGTGCTCGGTAGATGTGAGGTGCATCCCGGATTGCTGGTTTACGCATTGAAGGGTAGGGTATGGCCGGTTCCATGCTGCTTTCCCCTGCCGCTACTAGCGGTGTTGAGGTCTCTTGGGCGGGAGGGAGTTTTCCGGCCTTTCATTCCTCTGGAATTTATTCCTCCCGCTCCCCCCTTTTTTTATTCTTTTATTTTTTTTTTTATTTTTATTTCTTTTCTTTTTTTTTCTTTAAACCAAGGGGGTAACCTAACCATGACCCCTTTAGTCCATGACCCACTACCCCCGGGCCACTTTCTTGATACCGCACCCCTTTCTGACCTGCCTTGTGTTTTAGACCACTCTTCGGACACTTGATGCCCCTGTACCTTTTGCTGTGCTTTTTCCCCTCACCCGTCAGGAAACCGGGGCTTCGATGACTCCTTCGATTTTTCTGAACTCCCGCTCTCCTTGACTATGCTACGGTACGGCCAATTTTCGAATGCCCCCCATTTCAGCCGGACCAACTCCGGTCCTACTCCTAAACGCCAACGTCATCTCCTGATGATGTCCTTCTTTTCCTTCCCATTCCTCGGAAAAGACGACAGTAAAGCAACTCCCTCTCCACGCTGTTTTGAACTACACAATGGACTAAATTCTTTTACTTTAAGACCGACTTGTTCTTTGCCACCTTTTGATCATAGTATTGGCAAAGCGCCCTGCTTTAGTTGGTAGGATATTTCATTCATGCTCTCAAAGCGTAATGGCATGTCCTGTCCTAATGCTACCCAATGTCATACTTTCTCTCCTTTCGAATATCGATACTCTCCTATCACTTGAAAAACATCTTTCTTCAATCTTGTGTGGTACTGTCATTCTCCCCATACCTTTGTCCAACAGAATTTCCGTCATGTGGCAATGACATTTTTAAAACAAGCGGGAAACTCCGGGATCCCCCAATCCTCAAAGTAGACATTTGTCCTTCCTGCCGGGGCGGAGACGTTCCCCTTTGGGCAATGTGGCTCTTTTAAACTTTGCCCAGCGGACCCCGTCCTCTGAAATAATGTCGTGGGACACTTTTACAAGTTCGAAAGGTGTACCTACCCCGCAACAATGTAGAAATTGTGGCTTTGGTCACCCAGCGAATATTGCAGATCTTTTGCCGAATGCCCAGTCTCTGTGCGACGACCTTTAATACATCTTGAGTCAAACCCTTTCCTCTTGCCTTAATTGTAATGAAGCTCCCCTTGTATCCCCGTTGCCAGGTCTCTTAAATGAACGTGAAACCCGGGTTGCTTCAAAGAAGCAGAAAGGTCTCCCTTTTGCTATGGCAGTTACTCTTTCTCGCCTCCAGGGAGACTACCCTGTGTTTCCTTATTTCGTGTTTCAAACATCCCCCATTCGGGCCCTCTTCTGCAGCCTCTGTTGTTACCCCTCCCTAGCCACTACGGCATCTAATCCTTTTGCTGTCCTTGGCTCTGACGTCCCGACTACAACTCAGTCTGTTCTCACATCTTCGCGTCCTTCCTCACAAGCCCCAGTATCGACAAGACCTCGTACGACACCCAATACCATCGCCCCTCTACTCAGAAGTCCAAAAATCCACATTGCTCAAATCTTCTTTGCCCCCTTTCCCTTTCCCCTTTTTCCACCTCCACACTTTACCTTTCCAGTCTCTGTACCTAGTTCTTCCCCTCTCTTGGCTCTATTACAAGTGTGGAGATTCACCCTCCTCCTCGTACTATGCTTCCAAACCCCCCTCCCCTCCCAAGTTTCTCCCTCTTCTGCCACCTCCCAGGTTTCTGCCTCTTCTGTCCCCCCCCCCCCCCTCACATTCATCTCCAGTCCCTTACTCTTCCCTCCCCCTCTACTTTGGTACAGTCCATTACTGTCCCAATCTTTACTCACCCTCCTCCTTCTATCTCCAATATGGTCTCCCGTACATCTTTGAATTCAGAAACACTTGAAGCCATTTCAGAATATATTGCAGAGACTAAACCCTTTAATGGACACTGATTTTACTTCCTGTTCCTTCTCTTCCCCCTCCTCCATTTCACAACCCATTCTTCGCAACGCTCCTTCCTTCGCTACTTGAACGTCTTCAATGCCACCACACGTTGACTTTTTTAACCCCTCTAGTCCGTAGGTGCCTTTACCTACAGATTCCTGATATTTTCTTCATCGCAATCATGGCCTATTTACAGTGGAATATCCGTGGCCTCAGGGGTTAATCGGGGTGAGCTTCAGATGTTGCTTTTCCCGGTTTTCCCCTGTTGGTGCTTGCTTACAAGAACCAAAATTACACTTGGCTGTTTTCCAACCTATCTCAGCTATAATTTATTGTATTCTTCGGATCCTTTCTCAGATGGGGCCTTTAATGCAAGTGCCCTTCTTCTACGCAATGATATTCCCTACTGTCAACTATTTGTCCATACCTCGCTGCATTACACTGCAGCCCGTATTTCCCCTTGAATAAGTGGTTTACAATATGGGTTTTTTATATCTCTCTCCTTCTCGAGCATTTTTTATCCCCGACTTTTTCCTTTTTTGTTTCATCCTTACCACTACCAAATTCTGTTACTTTGGGGATTTTAATGCCCACCATTTCCTCTGGGGGGGGGGGTCTCATTGTGACTCACGTGGCATTCCGTTGGAGGCTTTTCTCGCCTCTCACCCCCTCCATGTTTTAAATACGGGTACTCCCACCTATTTTGATCCTCGTACTCATACTCTCTCTTGCTCAATCTATCAGTCTGCTCTTCCTCCACTGCACTAGACTTCACCTGGTCTGTTCTACCAGACTTACATGACAGCGATCATTTCCGATCTTCTTTACTTCTCCTTCCTATTCACCACCTTTCCGTAGCCCCCGCTGGCAATTGATGGGCAAAATTGGGATCTTTACTCACACCCTCACGCTTTTAGTGAGGTTCCTCACCTCTGATGAGCTCCTACACATTTCTCTCGACTCATTTATACCGAGCTTTCATTCTATACCCCAAACCTCAGGCGGCATTCTCAAAGGCGGCCTGGTGGGCTCCTGCTTGTGCTCTGCAGTACGTTTGAAACGTGCTGCATGGGCGGTACCGGTACAATAGAACCGCTGAGGACTTCTGATTTTGCAAAGCTGACGATGCTTCGCCGTCATCCTGAAGCAAAACCCCACTTGTTTGGCGAAAACTGTTTCCACCATCACTCTGCTTTTTCTATGAGTGCAGTCTGGAAAAAAGTGAGGAAATTGAGTGGTAAATACTCTCCTGACCCGGGTCGTTTACGGTCGTGTGTTTGATGTAACAAACCTCTGACGTTTCCATTGAACTGGGACGCATCTGGTCCGTATTTCCGAGGCTCCATCTAAAGCCCCCGTTCTTTCCTCAAAGTCTGCCAGAGAGTTGTACCTTTGACTTTTC